AAAAAAAAAAAAAAACAGTAAAGGAAATTTCATAGCACCCTGTTTCTAGGTCTTAAGGGGCTTCCTACTAATTTTGAAATGTGTTGTCTTTAGTGGAGAGGAAAAATGGAAGATTTCCCTTCAAGGAGTGATTGGACCAGAGTATTATGGATTGGGATCCACAGTTATTTCTCCTACAGTTTGTATACTATAGGAAAGATAAGACTAGAGAGCTTTTGGACTTTAAGGTAAATTTCCCAGAATAAAATATACCCCTGAATAATGAGTAAGATTTGAAGCAGGTAACCTTTCATTCTAGAGTCTTTGAAAAGCATCTTAAATTGCAAATGGAAGGTATGCAGTAAGAAGTGAAAATCAGAAAACCTTTTAAAATGTATACTTACACCAGGTACTATTTAATGATCCACATTCAGAAAACAATGTCATTGCAAGTATAAAGACAACTTATTCTGTATAATTTTAAGGTATAGCAATTTTTTCAGGTCTCTACTACTTTGAGAAAATATTGCCCCTCCCTGCAGTATGGAAGTTTCCCAAACATTGCTCAGCATTTCTCAAATAACATCAGGACTATGAATCTGCTCATGACCTTTCAGTCACCAGCGCAGTGCACCTGGGTATTTCTGCACCTGATATGTTCCATTGACATGATTGTAGTAGGTTATCTTACTATGCCTGTGTAATTTACTGGAAAGACACCCCTCTTGACACTCAGTTGCCTTTGTGGAAAATCAATTGTATGTATATAAGTGGATCTATTTTTGGACTTTCTCTTATATTGTTTGATATATTTATCTGCTTCATATCTCAATACTGTATTATCTAATGTACCTTTGAACCAAGTAGTGTTCACCCTTCATTTTATCCTCCTCAGCATTGTTTGGGGTGTTCTTAAATGTGCATTTCTATATGAATTAAGAACTCACTGATTTCTTCAAAAAGTCATCCTGAAATTTGGTCTATATTACATTGACTCTATAGATCCATTTGATAACATATTTTCGTGATATTGAGACTTTCAATCCATGAATAAATGTATATTTTCATTTATTTATGTCTTTTAATATTTTTCTCAATGATGTTTCATAGTTTTCAGATATTTTACATTTTATTACATTTATTACAAGTATTTGGTATGTTTTGATGTTATTTTAAAGGATTGTGTTTTAATTTCTGGTCTTTTATTGCTGCTTTGAGGATTTCATATAGGAGTATGAGAATTTCTGCCCCTCCCTCTCCCCTCACCAATTCCTTCCATGTCCCTCCTACTATCTTTCAAACTCAGGACTTCTTCCTTTATAATTGTCTTATATACATACAAATGTATGTGTGTGTGTGTGTATACAACCTATTGCATCCAATTAGTGTTGTTCCTATGTGCATGTTTCTAGGGATGATCACCTAGGATTGGGGGCTCATCCTTGAAGAAAACTGGTTCTCTCTCTCAGCAGCCATTGACTACCTGTAGCTGTTCATCTAAGGGTTTCATCTCGTGAAATTTTCCTCGGTGATGGTGTTCTGACTGATGTGGTCTTCAAAGGTCTTGTGCAGGCAATTATATTGTTGAGAGTTCATGGGAACAACCCTGTTGTGTTTAGGAGAAAACATTTCACAGCAGACATCCCGGTCCTCAAGCTCTTAAAGTCTTTCCTGCCTCATCTTCTGAGATATTCTCTGAGCCTTAAATGTAGGGGTTGTGTTACAGAGATCCCATTTGGGATGGAGCATACCATGATCACTTATTATTTGCATTTTGACCACTGGGGGAATCACTGTAATGGTCACTGGCTGCTTTAAAAAGAAGCTTCACTAATGAGAGGTGAGAGCTACACTTATCTATGGAAGCTATATATTATTCAGCAACATGGTAATAGTAGGCTCTCCTCTAGGATCTATGAGCTCTCCATCTATGGGCATCTGACTAGGTTTACAGGACCAGTCATGCAACATCCATTTTATTGCTGTGTTATTCACAATAGCTAAGTTAAAGAATTAAGTTAGATTGGTATCACAGTGCCTGCAGAGGCCAGAAGAGGGCATTGGACCCCTGAAACTGGAGTTACTGCGAGCTGCCATGTCGGTGCTAGAAACCAAGATCTGGGTCCCCTGCAAGAGCAGCAAGTGCTCTTAGTTACCATGCTATTTCTTTAGCTGCTGTTTTTCATTTTGAAGGCCATTTCCCTCCTTTGCTAGATTTAATCCTAGATATTTATTTTTAAAGCTATTGTGAATGGGATTTGCTGCTTTTTACTGGCAAATTAGTTACCAGCATAAAAAGTTTATTGGTTTTTAAAATTGAGTTTTTGTGAATGCAGGCACTGGTGCCACAGCACACAGGTAGAGGTCAGAGGACAACGTACTTGATTCTGTTCTTGCTGTCCACCTTGTTGAGGCAGGTCTCTCCTTGTTTCTGCTGCACTGTATATTCCAGGCTGGCTGGCTTACAAGCTTCCAGCTGATTCTAGCGCTTCCATCTCACCATGAGAATGCTGGGATACAGATGTGCAATGCCACATCTGCTGGTTTCCTGAGGTTTTGAGGATTGAACTCAAGTCATCGGGCTTGCATGGCAAGCCTTTTTACCCACTGAACCATCTCCCCAGCCTGATTTACCGATTTTTGAATGTTGGTTTTGTATCTTGCTACTTTGCTGAATGTGTTTGTGAAGTTTTAAGAGTTCTCTGAAGCCATGTGATGTTGTAAGTATAGGATCATGCCATCTGCAAATAGGGACGGTGTGACTTAGTCCTTTCCTAGTTGTGCCCTTTACTTTTTCCTTTCACCAACTGTTCTACCTAAGACTTCAGACACTATATTAAATAAGAACGGAAAAAGTGGATACTCTGGCTCATCCCAATTTTAGAGAACATTCTTTTAGTTTCTTTTTCTATTCTATTTGATGTAAGAGCTGGCTATAGGTTTACCATATATAGCCTTTAATTCACTGCTATCTGTTGAGGGATGTTTAAATTTTTTTCAAGAAAACTGCCTTTATTAGGTGGAAAAAATTATCCCTGAAGAAAAAATTAGTCATCTGGAAAGAAAAAGGCACCTTTCCCCTGCCACTGACCTCCTTAGGAACCGGCAGCTCCTATGGGTAGTGTTGGGAAAAGAGCACAGGGACTTAGAGTCAGACCCCGTGCTGTTCAGATGAAGAAGGTTAGGCCACTTTCAAGAGCCTAATTGCCCCAGGCATAAAACCAAATTCTTTCCGGCTCTGGAAAAGAGCACACAGGGATATGTGGGGCAGAAAAGGGGAGATATGGCCACATTTTTCCGGAAAAATGACAACATGGGAATTTCAAAAACAAATTTTCCACCCTACCTTAATTCCAAAAACTCTTATTTCTTCCTTTTTAAAAAACAAATACACTTTCTGTTCTTTTTCTAGTAACATATATTAAGTGGCACTAACTACACAGTAACTCTAAGGAAACTAACTTGAAACCACAGAACAGTAACGCTGCCACAGCTAGGAGGATTTAGACACTTCTAGCCAAGCACATTAAAAAACAAAACAAAACAAAACAAAACCCTGGATGTGGACCCTAGAGCTATGCCAGTCAAATGTGTTAGGAAGTAAAGCTCTGAAGTAATGACTCACCAGAGCTCCCTGCAGTTGGATGATGGGCAGGACATGTTATAGTTACAGCCTTATCAACAGAAGTTAGCAACTGTGTCTCTTTCTAGAAAAAAACAGTCTTTGAATTAGTGTCTAGGGTGTTGGGTGGAGCACAGAAAGCTGCTGGGGTTAACAGAAAGGACCCTGGTGGGTCAGACAGGTTGGACATCATTCACAACCCTGGTTGGCTCTAAACACTGGTAGCAAGATAACCTCTGATTTGTAATCTTTGGTAAAACATAAACAGAAAAAAACAGAAACCATACACTAAGATTAATAAACAGCACTTTAAATTAACTGCACAAGGGTAGTGACCAAAGCAAGGTTTCACAACACAAGACACCCAGATTTTGTCTTCCTAAGTCTGGTTTGTAAAGCAGCTCTTGCAGCTGTTTCAAAAACCTCCCTCACACCTTCTTCGGTCTTTGCTGAACACTCCATGTACACCAAAGCGCCAATCTTGTTCGCCATATCTCTGCCTTGCTCAGATTTTACCGGCTCCTGCTTCCTCTTAGCTAAAGCCCGTCTTGCTAAAGAGTCATTCCGAAGATCCTTCTTGTTCCCAACCAGGATGATGGGCACACTGGGACAGAAGTGCTTGGCTTCTGGAACCCATTTTCTTGGGATGCTGTCTAAACTATCAGGGCTGCCAATGGAGAAACACATCAATATAACATCAGTGTCTGGATAGGAGAGAGGCCTCAGGCGATCGTAATATTCTTGTCCAGCTGTGTCCCACAAGGCCAACTCGACCTGTTTTTCATCCAGTTCAATATCTGCCACATAGTTCTCAAACACGGTGGGCACATAAACTTCTGGGAACTGGTCCTTGCTGAAGATTATGAGTAAGCAGGTCTTGCCACTATTTTCATCACCAACAATCACCAGTTTCTTCCTAATGGTGGCCATTGCTTACAAATGTTCTGCAAACTACATGGCTTCTGTGACAGATGTTAAACCAAGTACGTGGAACTTCTCAGATGGAAAGCTCCAGAGACAACTCCTGGCATTTCATGGCAAGGGTGCCTCTCCGTGAGTCCCTAGCTCAGAGCACAGGATCAGCAGCTAGGACGAGATGGTGGACCACACAGACAACCAACGGATGACGGCCGGAGTGCACGAGCTAGCACCCTAGGTGCCAGGAGTGCAGGGAGCTGCGCATGCGCTCCTGAGCACCCAGCAGGTGCCAACTAGTAAAAGGCTAATGCAGGCGAACACTCACAATTCAGCCATTTTGCTGGAGTGCTCGCAGGTCCTAAAAGCAAGACACTTAATCAATCATTGCAGCTGTGGAGCATCACGGGAACTCTCAAGGCATATTCTTTCTATACTAGCTTCTTCAGGATGTTTTTTCATATGGAATTTTGTCAAAAGACTCTTTTTACATCTCGAGATGGGTATGTGATTTCTGTCCTTAAATCTGTTTTAGTGTTCTATTAAATGTTCTACCATATTTATTGATTTGAATATATCAAACCATCCTTGCATCAATGGCATAAAACCAACTTGTTCACAATGTATTATCTTTTTAATATGTTCTCAAATTCAACCTGCAAATGTTTTGAGGATGTTTGCCTCTGTTCATAAGGGAAATCGATCTAGGTTTAATTTGTTATGTCTTTAATCTGGTTTTGGAATCAGTGTACTGCTAGTTTCATAGAATGGACATGACAGAGTTCCCTCCCTTTCTGTTTTATGCAACAGTTTGGGGAGCAATGTAGTTAATTCTTCAAAGTTTTGGTAGAATTCAGAAGTGAATTCCTCCAGTTTCCGGCTTCATTTTGTTGCTTGTGGTTCTGTTTATGTTGCTTATGGCCTCTTTTTTGAAAGCTTTTTATTGAATTTTTGTAAATTTTGTTCATGGACTCCCCTCTTCTAACTGCACCTCCTAACTACTCCCCACCCAATTTCATGTTCTCTATTACAAATATTAAATACAAATGTATATATAAAATGCCAGAAGAGAGTGTCAGTTACTCTGGAACTGGAATTACAGACAGTTGTTAGTTGCTATGTGAGTGCTGGGAACCAACCCTGGGTCTTCTGCCAGAGAAGCCAGTGCTCTTAACCACTGAACCATCTCTCCAGCCCCTCATTGACCATTTTTTACATGACACTTCTAAATTATTTTACAGTTCAAACCTTTCAGTATCTTTGGATTAAATTGTTGAAATCTTATGCTTTTGGAGGAGTCAAAACAGCAAAAGTCTTTCATATTTCTTGCATTTTGCATTGTGATTTGGACTTCTGTTAAGAGGTATATATTTTTCAGTTTATTTCCATTTTAAAAATATCTTCTTGGGAGGTTTTCTTATTGGTCAGCCTTCTCCTGGAGTCATGATTCCCACAACCACTCAGAGAACAGAAAGCAGATAGCAGTAACAAAAAAGTAACAATTCAGAAATAAAGCTATATAAATGTAGTAAAAATATTGGAAATATTAACTACATCTCCACAAAAGTTAGTAAAGAAAGAAGCTATGATACTTATATAATAAACTAAAACTTTAAAAGTCACTAAACTAAACCTACCAATAAGTAATTAATAAGTAGCAGAAAAGGGATGGTGAAAGGAGAGAGAAGCAAGAAAGAAAAAGAGGAAAAGTGTGTGATGGAATATAAGACAAGAATGACAGAGAACATAGCAGAGAAGACTTAGAAAAGAAGTAATACAAAATCCCTCTATGTATGTTTTTGCATTTGACTTAGTGATGGTGCCAATGGTGCCACAATCACTAGTGGTGGTGATGGTGTCAGTGATGACAGTGGGCACAGTCATTTCTCTCTGAAGTCTAAATGAACTAGACTAGAGCAGGCTGTGGGCAAGCTGAATCTTTCCTGCTAGAGAGCTAGGCTTAATTTCTCTTGTGTTTTTGTGTATACAGATCTGGAAATACAAGGAATGTAATAGTCAATCACAAACTGCTCAAGCAGCTTATTCTGATGGCTCCTATTTGAATATTCTCTCATAGGAGAAGGTGCTTTTCCTGTGCAGGTTTAATGTAGTAGACTTTTCCAGGTCTTTCAGAGTATGCAGTATGTTCAAACTAAAGTAACCTGCACAGATTGGCCAAGGTGCAGGGCCATCTTATGATCCTGCTTACTCTGTCTGAATAGTTTTCTGTCTTGGCACCCCTCCTTATATGCACACCAGCTGATTTTTTTTTCCCTCTTATTAGGGTTTCAGCTGCATACCTCCAATAATAGAGGACACATGGCTTTCCGATGAAGCACAGGACACACTTCACACTCAAGTAGATCTGTGTGCCTGAATCTGAGGATGATTTACAATCATTGTGCTAGGTCCACACCTACTCTTTGTAATCACTTGTGTAGCCAGTGGAGAGGGAGACCAAGATGTTTTTTTTTCTAAGCTGCTGTCTTTGCCTCTATCCTCTCAGCTTCTATAAACCTTGCAGCTCAGCCAACCATGCCTCTGCCTCCAACTCAGTTTCTTTCTTGTAATGGCTAATAGGTGACTGCAGGTATACACCACATTGTCTTCATTCATCCCTCCACCAATGGACATAAAATCTACTTCTGCCTTCTGTCTACTGTGAATAATGCTACATTGAATGGCTGTGTAAATATTTCTTCAAGATTTTGTTTTAATTCCTCTGTATATGTTCAAATATGATTTGAACATCTGTCCCCTTTAAAATTCATGTTGAAATGTACTTGCCGTTGTACCACTACTAAGAGGTAGGACATTTAAGACATGATTAGGCTGTTCTGCTTCCCTGGGCCTGCATGACCTGCTGCCCACTCTATGGACCAATCCACTTCTTCAGTGCAGTACCAAGGAGCCCTTGGGGCCTCTTCCCACCCCCATCTCCCTTTGCATCTCTGAGTGTCAAGACCACCAGCTGCCCAAGACCAGTATCTTTCCTGGGCCCTCTTCCCAGGCCAGTCCAATCCCCCAAATTCCTGAGGCCAAAATCTTTCCTGGAGGGATCCAGACCTTAGGAGAAAGCCTGAGAGCATCTGAACCTTATCTAACTTAGGCCTCTGTGGGAACTCCCAAAGACAAAAGCAATCTAGCCACTCCAGTATAAAATCAGAGGATAGAACTGGAAGCTTAGAGGAATCAGCTTTTCATGCCCAAAAAGTAAACCACAAAGGCACATAAAGTTTACAAAAAGAATCAGACCTAAACTTGAAAACTTGAGTCTCACATAAGAATCAGAAACTACAAAAGAAACTCACATGTCAAAATCAGAGAGAAAAAATAATAACATGAAAAACCAAAATAATTTATCCTCCACCAAATACCAATAGCCTTCTAGGGGAGTACAATGAGAACCCCCTGGAGATAATGCAGGACATGGAAGTCAAAAGAACAATTATAAACATGATGAAAGAATTCAGTGAATTTAAGGAACCCACAAAAAAAGAAATCAAAGAACTGAAGGAAGATAGGGATAAACTTCTTTTT